TGGCAGGTAAACAAACCGGCCCGGGCCGCCAGGGGCTTTCCCTACACAAGCGCCGGCCCCAGTTTGAGAACCACTGCACTAAGAACTGCCCTCTTTTAAAACTGCGGCTATTTTTCATCAATTAGATTGGATCTAGTTTTCAGCTAGATGTAGTTTAGATACCTATTTAAAAATTAAATTAAAAAATATGCCTCTAAACTTTACACGATGAATAATTTGAATTGTCTGTCTCTTTTGCTCTGGAAGTTCCCCAGCTGTTGTTGATGATCCCTGGGTACGCCAGGAGTCTTGTGGTTTCTGTAAAATTAAACCTGATGCTGTTTTCAGCCTGGAATAACTCCACAGTCTCCGTATATTTGTGTTGTTTCACTACAATTTTGTTTATTTGAGCCCATTTATTCTTCTTGGAAGTCTCTGCCTTCACTTTGAAAAGAGGCTAAGGCACTACTAGAGTGCCTGAAAGTACCATCGAGCCCTAAAGAATTAGTAGATGACTAGTAAGTGTGCTTAAATTGAAGCTAACTGTTCAAAAACCTGTTCTAACTGGAATCTATTTATTCTTAATTAGGTTGCCATGATGACGTAGTTAAAATTGTGGAACTAGCCTGCAAACATAATCTTTGCATAATACCATTTGGTGGTGAGTATTGTACCTTTAAAAATTTTGGTAGGGTAAATTTAAACTATAAAGTTACATATTTCTTTAAATTCAATTCAAGTGGCTAGTGCTAGTGGCATGAAGTCATGGCAATAAATCAGCCAACTCTACACAGGAGTAACTTGAGCATTTAGAGGTGTTGAGTATATATTTATAAAGTATTGTTTAAAGTAGTAGTCATATGTCAAGACTTTGGCAAGGTTAATAATTACTTTAATTTTGAAGACAAATAGATCCCATAGAATTTATAATCTTATTGCTGTGCTTGGTTCACTGAAATCTAGTGGAAGCCTTTTACATCTGTCAGCACTTGAATGTTTCACTATATAAGAGGAGCAATTTATTTTTTGAGGTGGCGTCTGCATATTCCCACTAGCGCTGCTGCACTTTGGGAACCTTCTAGAAGAGCAGTTTCCATTTGGGCCTGAATGAGCATGCAGCACCAAACATTCGGAGCAGAAGTTACAAGAAGTTGTGCAGGCAGTTCCTTCTTTTTTGGCAGTTAGGTGTGGGCATATATTTTTCTCTTGGTAATTTCTGAAGTATCAAGTCAGTTCAGATTCCTGAAGTCTGAGCCCAAGCGTTTGATGTGCCTCAGAGAAAACCATTCCTTGGTATAGCATTTTACATGCTGGGCCTTTTACACAATAGGCTCAAAAGGAAAGGCGCATTCAGATCCTGACATTTCTCATGAAGGAAGGTCTTGTGGCCAAACCCCCTCAGATTTGTCCTCAGTACAGAGACGGAGAGGCCTTTCAAGTCCTGTGTTGGGAAACAGAAGATTTTAGTCCTGGAACTGACAACTTTCATAAGCTCCAAGTCCTCAGAGCAGTGTCAGGATCTGGGGTAGTTCTGGCATTGAGGAAACCACTTCCATCATCATCTGTCTGGTGCCTAGATTTGTCCGTGCTGGAGACTTCAAAAGTGCCTCTGTCCTCAAGGGAGTCTGTGTGTTTTTGTATGGACTCCCCATTTCTGAAGTCTTTCAGCTCTGTGGAAGCCTCTAGCTGAGTTTGCTTCTTATTCATCCAGAAACAGTCTCGGTTGGGCTTGACATTTTTGGAGACCTCAGTTGTGCTCTTCTTTGCCCTTAAGCATATAAGGGTAAGAAAATAGGGCTAGGAGAGAATCTCTGCCTTGGAGCATTCTGTGTCATTACAAAAGAGAAACGTTATCACATATCCAGGGAGTGCAATAGGCAGATTGGAGGCCCCTTTTCTGCCTCTTGTAATTCCGAGGGTGCCTCTGTCTCTTTAATTTATTGCAGAACTCGAGGATTCAATCAGACTTCACCCTTCTTTGGTGCCCATGTAGGTGACAACTGTCAGTGAGCCTGTGTCTTCCAACATAGTACTCACTCTGTGCCAGAATGATCTACTGGAGATCCACATATAGATCTAGAGGATATTCCAGAGTCTCTTGATTTGAAAGTCTTTGTTTTGGGGCTATTTGAGTTGGCCTGTGTGCTGTCTGGCTTGGTCTTCCAGGTTTACCTGGACAGCTCAAGGAACAAGGCAACTTCACCTACCAAGAGTTAACATTACATGAAGAGCTTGCTCTCAATTCCCTGGGATAACTTTATGCGGACTCCTTTCTCTTATCCTCACTTAATCTGTGAATAATGTTACTATATTATTAGAGACCTTCCTCAACTTCTTGAGGATCAGAGGACCATTAAAAGGGGAGGGTAGCTGAGATTTCTGCCTCTTGAACTCACAATTCTTCCTCTTCCAAAAGGATTCAATTTCAAATTCGACCTCTTTTGCTACATCCATTTGTAAAACCTGTCTTTTACCCCACCTCTGGTCAGATTCTGCAACAGGTATTTCATATACTCATCTCTAGGTTTTTATGTGATCTCTCTAGCCTTTGAGGTCTCGAGCTGGCTGCTATGCAGTATATGATAAAAATGCCTTAGATTGATATCTTGGTCAAAAGGGGTGTGACCTTTGGTTTTATTCACACACTCATGCAGTTCTGCTCTCTCAACTTAGCATCTAGGTTTGATGCTTGCTTTAGGATGACAGGTTTGCGATTCTTGTTTAACTAGAACTCCTCAGCCCACTTTCCTGGGGCATTGTACTACTAGTTAGACTCCCATGAGCGGGAACATGTAGAGGTCACTTGAAGGAAGAAAGCTTACTTACCAGTAACTGTGGTTCTTTGAGGGTGGTGCTCCTCTGTATTTGCACCACACACACCTTTTCCCTCTTTAAAGTTCTATTCTGGGGTTTAAAAGAAGGGAATGAGATGGTTGGGGAAATTGATGGCCTTCTTTACCCTGTGCTCTGAATGTTTGGTACTACAAGGTGAAATTTGTGCAATTGAACAGGTACTCGTTTTATGAACTTTGAAGAAATTCTGAAATTCCAGGGGAACGTCCCACAAATGTGAATGTGCAAATGTAATGCACTCTCAAAGAAACAGTGTCACGCAACCTTTCTAAGTGACATGTGCCTCATACCTAAAATGTGTGTCTTAGTTAAATGTGGATAACCAATATCAAGGCAAACTATTTCAATCTAAGTTGATATTTCCAACATTTGCAGGAGGAACAAGTGTTTCTAGTGCTCTTGAATGTCCTGCAGATGAGAGAAGAACTATTGTTTCATTGGATACATCACAAATGGTATGTAATACAAATTTTAGGGGAAACCTTAGAGGAATTAACATTTAAGTGTACTGAAAACGTTTTAAAAGTTAAAAAATTACTGTAGTATTTCGTTGTTACCTGATACTGCAAGAGTAAAAAAGGGGGAAAAGAAGTTTTCCTACACCTTTTTTTTAAATTGCTTCAATATTTTATTATATATCCAAAAGCAAATAGAATGCAACTTTGAAAAGCTGTACCATATATGTAAACTACTGGTCGCTGGAAGCACACGCTATTCAGAGAGAGGTCCAGCATTGTTCTATTGCTGGTGTTATCAGTGTATGCTGCATGATGGCCATTGTGAATGGACCTAACAAAATAGCAGTACATTTTCTTTTCTGTTGAATGCCCCTTGTATTCTTGCTAATGACATGTGAATTTGCAGGTTACTGTGTAAAATAGCAGTATACAAAAATTTGTTACAAATAACACTCTGTTTTTTGCATTTGTCTAAGACTCTTAGCATTTTTCCCCTGTGTAGAAGTTACAGGGGTCTTAAAGGGACAACAGTTTGCAAATTGTACTTTGGAAATTTTTGCTTGCTACAGTAACAACACCTAAGATTATTGTAAGTGAAATATTAGAGGGAGATGATATTCATTGTTTACTACTTGCATTTGAGTACACTTTGTGTAGAGTCAATTTCACTGTGCAGTGTTTTTTGCACAGTAACATTTACAAAACACAGGTTGGCAGGGGAGGACTCATGGTCAGTGGTAGTACTTTGAACTAAACTTTCTTTAAATTGACCAGATTTCAAGTTGACAGTGTCCCTTTAAATCAGTAGTGGATGTATTATATGCTACATTGTGGAATTACAAGGAGACTTCAAGTTTGTCACATGCTTAGTGCTATTGAAACTTCGTTTTCTGTATTCACTACTTTTCCATTGGTAGGAGGGATTGCACACTTGTAAAAACAGTTTTGTAGCTGTGCAGTAATCAAATCCTACCTTTCAGAAATGACATCCTATTTTTAATCTAGTATTGCGTTCTGTAACATCTTGCAGAGCTGTGTTGGCTTGCTTCTCCATTCTCCATCACTCTTCGGAACACTTCATTGACCTGGGCGCAAAGACTGGGTTTTGACTCCTTTTCTGTGGCAGGGCAGCTTGCAGCTTTCTCTTTCAACCTGGCTCAGGGAATTCCTCTTTTATAAGAGTTGCTCCTAGTGGCAGCTGCTCCTTGCTTTCACAGGCATCCTGAATGGAGTGGAATTGAGGAGCAGAGACAGCAGTGCTCATATGTGTGGACCAGAAGTGATCTGTGGCCCACAGTTTGGGAACCTCTGGTCAAGGAAAAAAAGCAACTTTAAGTCATTAATTGTGCTGTGGTGCTCTTCTCAATCATTCAGTTGCATTAACAGTAAATGAGAACTACAGGTTGTAAATGAGTTTACTGTGACTTGATTAATTAACAAATCTGTTTAAAATATAGAAAATCTGATATGAGCATCAGATGTCATTAGTGAAACAGGAGAGTAAGGTGAAAAATGTTGTTGTCTGAACTACAAACTGAACATCTCTCTGAACTAGGGCTGTCAATTAATTGCAGTTAACTCATGCGACTAACTCAAAAATAATCGTGATTACCAATTGAAATATATTAACTATTTTTGGACGTTTTTTCTACATTTTCAAATATATTGACTTAAATTACAACACAGAATACAAAGTGTACAATGCTCAGTTTGTTGTTTTTATTACAAAATATTTGCACTGTAAAATGATTAAAAAAAAGAAATAGTATTTTTCAGTTCACCTCATACAAGTACCATAATGAAATCTCTTTATTGTGTAAGTGCAACCTACAAATATAGATTTTTTTTTTTTGATACGTAACTGCATTCAAAAACAAAACAATGTAAAACTTTAGAGCCTACAAGTCCACTCAGTCCTACTTCTTATTCAGCCAATCGGTAAGACAAACAAGTTTGTTTACATTTGTAGGAGATAATGCTGACGGCTTCTTATTTACAATGTCACATGAAAGTGAGAACAGGCGTTTACATGGCACTTTTGTAGCCAGCATTGCAAGGTTTTACGTGCCAGATATGTTAAACATTCATATGTCCCTTCATGCTTCGGCCACCATTCCGGAGGACATGCTTCCATGCTGATGACGCTCGTTAAAAAAATGATGCGTTAATTACATTTTGACTGAACTCCTTGGGGGAGAATAGTATGTTCCCTGCTCTGTTTTATCTGCATTCTGCCATGCATTTCATATTATAGCAGTCTCGGATGATGACCCAGCACATGTTGTTTGTTTTAAGAACACTTTCACTGCAGATTTGACAAAACTCAAAGAAGGTACCAATGTGATATTTCTAAAGATAGCTACAGCACTGAATCCAAGGTTTAAGAATCTGAAGTGTCTTCCAAAATCTAAGAGGGATGAGGTGTGGAGTATGCTTTCAGAAGTCTTAAAAGAGCAAAACTCCAATGCGGAAACTACGGAACCCGAACCACCAAAAAAGTAAATCAACCTTCTGCTAGTGGCATGTGACTCATGATGATGAAAGTGAACCTGTGTCAGTCTGCACTACTTTGGATAGTTATCAAGCAGAACCAGTCATCAGCATAGATGCATGTCCTCTGGAATGGTGGTTGAAGATGAAGGGATATATGAATCTTTAGCGCATCTGGCGTGTAAATATCTTGCAATGCCGGCTACAACAGTGCCATGCGAAAGTGTGTTCTCACTTTCAGGTGACATTGTAAATAAAAAGCGGGCAGCATTATCTCCTGAAAATGTAAATAAATTTGTTTGTCCGAGTGAGTGGCTGAATAAGAAGTAGGACTGAGTGGACTTGTAAGCTCTAAAGTTTTACATGGTTTTATTTTTGAATGCAGTTATTTTTTGTACATAATTCTACGCTTGTAAGTTCAACTTTCATCATAAAGAGATTGCATTACAGTACTTGCTTAAGGTGAATTGAAAAATACTATTTATTTTGTTTTTTACAGTTTAAATACTTGTAATCAAAAATATAAAATGAGCACTGTACACTTTGTATTCTGTGTTGTAATTGAAATCCCTATATTAAGAAAATAATTTCATCTGTTGGTGGATCTTCCTCCTTTTCTCCCTCCTCCTCAGAATCCAGGAACCGTGTCTTCAGAGTGGCTTTGCATAGTCACACTTTCAGGATGGCCCCAGCACCACTAATTTTATGGAAAGCAGTGCCCACTAGGGCAATACAAGTACCCCCCCCCCCCCACCACCACTGAATATTCAAAGCTGCAGTTGTAAAATTAGGCAGTCCCAACCACACCAGTCCCTTCCTTTCTGTGGCAGGGTTAGGCTTTGGGGGCCTATTCTCAGTTTTCAGAGTGATCTAGTTATTTTAATAAAACACCTAATTTTAACTGTTAAATTGTATTCTGGTTGGTGCTGGGTAGTTTATACCGTTGGATGCATAGTCTGGGATTTTCAAAAGAGCCTTAAGGAGTTTGATGGCCAAATTACATTGAACATTAATGGGAGTTGGGTGCCTAGCTTCCTTAAGCATCTCTGAAAATCCCAGCCTTGGTTTTTTAATGAGATTAGGTTTCTTGTAGCTTTTTTTTTTTTTTTTTTTTTAGTAGGGCCATTCAAGTCTCCAAAGACCTAGAAAAGAATGGGTTTGACCATTGTGCCTATATTTTCCCTCTATCACAGAAGGGCAAACTTGTCTTGCATTCTGATCAAGAATCACTTCACTTTGAGCAGGTTTTCCTGCTTCATATTGCTGTGCCTACACAAGCAAACTTTTCAGCCATAATTTACCACTGATTCATCTCCATTTACAGTAGCAACCCTGGAAACAGTATTGTAGACAAGACTACATGACATGAAGGTAAAAATGCCTCAGTCTTGTCTATTCAGCTTCTGCTGCTGCCACCATAGGTGGAGCTACACTGTTGGTAAATTACAACTGATAACTTTGCTAATGTATAAACATCCTTTGTGAAGCAAGGTCACTTATAAGTAAATCCCAGAACTTTAGTGGCCTAACATCTGATGTATATTTATTTTTTTCCCAACAGAATCAAATTCTCTGGATAGATGAGAAAAACTTAACTGCTCATATAGAGGCTGGCATTATTGGACAAGATTTGGAAAGACAGGTATTCTCAATTTCTTATGAAATTTGCAATATTTCTTGTTTCAGGTTGATTATTCCTACTTAAAGTTGTTTCAGGTGTCTGAACTAAGTCATTGAATTGTATTTTCATCCTTACACAAATTTTCATGCCCACTTTTGCTTACCACTTATGCTTATCAAATTTGTAAGAATTATATCCAAAGTTATGGACTGTCTAACCCTGGATATTTGTTAAATTTTAATTGAAAAATCCTGGCTAATCTTAGATGCAAATCCCATGTGAAATATCCTAAAAGTGAGCTGTCAATTTTTAGCCTGCAATATGTGCTTCCATCTGTGCAAAAGTGTGGCTGCAAGGTACAACACTTAGTATCAAATACATATAAGTACGAAACTAAATATATAAATCTTCATTACACATTTCTGATATCCAGCCAGATAGATGGGAGGTTGGTGACTCTGAGGGAGAAAGTTATGGTAGTTTGGAAATACATAGTTAAGATAAACATATTTTCAGATATTTGAGTTTCTTGTAAATTTAACCTAAACTCTACCCTTCTTGGCTTTTTAATGGTGATCTTACTAATTAAGTGTTCTCGTAAGAATGTTTAACTTTAAACTAGTGATATGTACTCTCAAATTTAAGACGAGGTTAATGAAATCCTTGGTTTGGGAATTAGTTGTCTTTGAACTCTCTTGTAATGGAGAGAAGTTTTCCTCATTCTAATGTTTGGAAGTGATTCTGAAGTAGTCATAGGGCAAATGGAGAACTCTTCCCAGGGGTAGGTTGTAATATTATTCCTGGGTGGAGTTTTGGCCTCACTTTATAAATTAACTCATTTCTCTCTGTTCAGATGCTCCTTTGGACAAGTAGTAATAATACCTAGTTCTTGCATACAACTTTTCTTCAGTATATCTCAAGTAGATCAGTAGACCCTAATAATGGGCTGGGGCCATCTGCATCCTGGTACACACAGGGAGTGGGGCTCTGACCTCCCTAGATAAGGCCCACAGATCTCAGCTCACATGAAGCGGGTATGGGGAGGGGCTCAGGCACCCCCACGGGCAGGGATCCACAGCTTCCAGATCACAAGGGAAGGGTAGGAAGAGAATCTCAGACCTGCTGAAAGGCAATCCCTGCCCCACCCCTCCCCCTGAACCTAGCCCACACCTGGTCAGGCTCCCAATAGATGGGCAGGGTCATTGAGATTCTGGTGTGTGTGTACATGGGGAAGGGAGAAGGGCTCAGAAGGGTCCCATATCGTGGCACACACCGGAGGGGAGAATATGGGGCTTACGGTGGCCCCTGCCCCTATCCTCGTCTGTACCCCCTATTACTCACCCCCATGTCCCCTTCCTGATGGCCTGCCCATCACCTGATCCTTCACCCACCCCCTCAATGAGGATTTGCACATGTAATTTATTTTCTTTTCAAAAAATAATTTTAGCACCTTCTGAATATTCTGTTGTACTCAGATTACTTTCCCAAAATAAAAAACAAACACCTTTGATAGAGGCAGACTCTAGCAAGATGCTGCCTTTTTCTTAATTTCAGATTGCTATGGTTGGATTTGAACTCTGAGTGCTTGGATTGTGTAGCTCAGGTCACTGGCTGTAACTTCCCCCTTGAGTTAGAGCTAGCTTTCAGCCCCTTGCCCCCTCTCTCTGTATATGCACAGTGTAATCTGTTTGTGTGAGCCTGGTGTGTGCCTAGCTGGAGAACCAAACACTTTGGCGGCTAATGTATGTATTTGATTTTCCCCAAAGAACTAGTGGGTGGCATACACTCTGTTTGGGTAAGTCTCGAGCATTTGAGACCCTGGTGCAATAATCTCAGTCCTGGCTTCATGTCTCTCTGTACATGAAAAAAGTTGCCAAAACCTATCAACTT